TAAAATTCTTGTCCATTGTCCATTAAATGAAAAGAAACCAAAACTGAAATTGTCCATAGTTCTTAACTATAATTAAACATAAAGAGTTTGTTACAAAAGAGAATTCAAAATATATGGTCTTTAACGCAAAAATAAACTGTTCACTTTTTTTTTTTATAACGCATAAAAGTAAATTAAAAACACTACACTGTTTGTCTAAAAAAAAAAAAAAAAAAAATCAAAAGGGGTCGAAACTTTAAGGGGGAAGAAGAGAAACGTCACAAACACACACCTTATCAGTAACACATATAACTAATCTTTAATCAAAAAATGCGTCTATCGCGCGTTCGGTTAAGCATAGTAACCGTAACGGATCTTGAGGGTCTACGGCGGGGATCTCAATGACCGGGTCCTCCACCTCCGGGATCACCTCCCACGACATATCGGCTTCTGCTCGAGTCGGTGATTGCGGATATTCGTGGATAGGTCGATGTTCGTTACTTTGAAACCTATAGAAATGAAACGCATTGGTATTTGAAGTGAATTACAAAGCTACTACTGTGAGAGTCTAAACCCGTAACCCACCTTCGCGTCGATTCAAGACGCGTGTGGTGGTATAATGACCAAGGAGGTGTTTATTTAATGTTTGAAGTGCTTCTATACCTGTAATAGAGTTTAGTCAGATGTTTTGAAAGAAGTACTTACACGGAAATACCAAAGTAATGGTAGGTATAAAAATTATTCAACATCTTGTGCTGAAACACCTTACGCTGAACATCTTACGCTCAAGCAAATTAAACTTTAAACGCGATTTGCTAAAAGCTTGTTTTTACGATGAAAGTTGAATATCGGTATACACGATTACTCAAAAACTACTCAATTGATGATCGGACTGAAATTTTGTATACATTTTAATAGAAGTAATGTCTCCTGGATGAACATCAAAGTAAGTTAAAATCACTAAAATAAAACATTTTTTTTTACTGCAAGAAAGAGTACAATTTTTATTTAAAATATACGGTTGGGGAATAAGTTTGTAACATTCAGTTCGTGAGGCACCCAGGTTCCCAATTTTTCGACAAATCCCATTGAATGGAGATGATTGAGAATAGTTTTGTGATCATAGTTCATTTTGTCGACCAATTCACGACTAGTTTGGCAACCGTCCTACTTCACAAGTGCTCGGAGACGCCCTTCGTCGAACTCAGAAGGTCTTCCGCTGCGGGGCGAATTTTCGAACTTTAAAATTGCCATTTTTGAGTTTTGCAAACCATTTCCGTGCTGTCGACTCACCTATGACACCTTCTCCATATACATTGCAAATATCCCGGGCTGCTTCAGCAGCTTTTTGGCCGCGATGGAAAGTGAAGAAGAGCAGGTGTCAAAAATGCTGCTTTTTACCTCCTGGATATTTCATTTCTAAGTCTAAATAGTAATAACGAATAAAACTACTGAAAAAAACGATTAACACAGTTTTGTAGAGCAGAAAGAGCTCTATCGAATGAATATTATAACCTCTTGCAAATTACAAAATATCGCTGTAAAAAAAAAGAAAATGTCAAAACGTTACGAACTTATTCTCCAACCTAATATTAAACATTTTGTTCTGAGGTCTTTTATTTTTTCAATTTTTAATTTGTTTTTAATATCTTTTGGTCATCCATTTACTACAGCTATATATTCACCAGATTTCTCTGCTTGGCTCTTTCAGATAATAAGAATAGACACTACAGTGTACACCATTTTAGAAGTCACTCTGCGACGCTTCTAGCACATCATACTGTACCTCCGCCATTTTCTATTTTATTTAATTAAAAAAAATTCCGAAATGAAGCTGAAGTATTTAGTAAATAGTCCTCAAAAGCTTACAAATATTTATTCAGTCTGTATTCTTCAAAATAATTCTTGAAAAGCAGTTTCATTTCGGCTTCCTACATAGAAGTCCCTTAATTGAAGAAATTAATACTGGAAGTTATTTGAACCATAAAAATGAATTTTCTCCGTCATTAATCTTAAGTAACTTATAAAAGTGATACGCGTTGAATTTAAGTAACAACAATAAGCTGAAAATTTAAATAACAACGAAAGATAAATATATTTCATATAATACTGATTTATTGAATACTGTATACATGTATTATTTTACAAGCATCGAATTTATGATCTTTTTATTTAAATCAGCTTGAAAGTTTTTTCTAAAATGAATACTATAACTTTTACAATGCTAAGCTCCAACTATTATTCAGTTTCGAAGTAAGCAATTAACACAATTAGTTCTAATAATACACAGGCTCATGTATGTTTAGCACTGTAATCTGATTTGTCGTGGAATCTTATTTAATTGTTTATAATTGTCTAACAATGTTTGCTGTATGTGAATCAGCATTGCGAAATCATTTCAGGTCAAATGCACAGAGCATTCGAAATCAAAAAGATTTTGTTATTACGTGATTTATTTTATATAAGTTTCGTACTTGGCAAGAAAATCTAGATAATTTATATTAATACGAGAAAATTATATAAGAAAAAAATGGTTTAGTTTTTGTTCTATGTTTGTTCATTTTGATGACTCAATTCCGATGATCTTCTTTTGATCTTCGCTTCTGCATCGTCTTCGAATCAGCTTTCTTAATTAATTTTACTAATTCACTAGCCAATTTGTTATTACCTGCTGCTAGTACTTTGGGCGACATAATGTTGAATTCTCCTCCTGAAACAGAATTTTATTTTTCATTGCATTTCTTTAATTGTGATTCGTCAAATAAAGAAATATTTGGTAATCTTATTTTATTAACCAGTTAACTGTGACGATCTTTTTGCAAAGCGCGCACCTGTGTGTGTCAAGATAATCAGGCAATGATGAGTTAGCTCTCAAGAATTTGTGAATCCATCTCAAATCATTTACACTTTTTATTTGTTTATTTCATTTCGTGTTGACCTCTAAACATTTTAAACATATTACAATTTACGAATATAATTCAGTTTTCGCCAAAATTACAATTTAAATATCAAATTGTAACAAAATTTTACGCGTGACGAATATAGTCGTCATGACACAAAGTTCTGCCACATCTCCATAATGGATATAGTCGTCAAACTCACTTAACTGGTTAATAAAATGTGTATCTTATAATAAGAAACTTGTGAAACGGTCATTTGACCGGTTTGGTAGTTTTAGTGTTAAGTTGAGTGGCGGCTGAGAATCGCTTCTCGAGCGCAAAAGGTTAAAAGTTATCATATCGAGTGACATACCACTTGTATCGATTACCACACCACCTGCTTCTCTGATAATTAGCACACCAGCAGCCACGTCCCAAGGCATCAGATTATCGGTGTGATAAGCGTCCGCTGCACCCATTGCTATGTAAGAGAGAGTTAGTGCTGCTGATCCCATTGTTCGTATTCCATGAGCCACCGACACGAAGGCTTCTGTTCTTCCTAAAATAATGTCTCTGATGTTGTCAATCGTTGCATACGAGGCTTCTATACACAGCAACGAGTGTTCCAGCTCTGTAAATTGATTATCATATTTTAGAATTCTAAGTGAATAGCACTACATCCTTCCATCCTAAATCTAATTGTATAGTGCTACATCCAGTACAGTAGATACTCGATATAAGCGAATTTCTCGAGTCTGAAGTTCCGCTTATATCGAATAGGTCTCATATTAATTGATGTTTTGCTGAACGTAGGAACGGACATCAAGTGAAAAAGACATCTGAATAATCAAACGTAAACAAACAGTACATATCGGTAGAACAATTCTAATGCAAGAATAAAACTTTTTTATTTTTTATTTTTTTAGGAAACTTTTACCAACATACTTGTGACATTTTCTTGATTAAAATAAGACCAAGCACAGCGTAATTCGGGACATATTTATTTGTAATTTTAAATGTTGAGCGTACATCGATAACTTTACTACAATAAGATATTGCAAGTAAATATAACTCAAATTACATCATGTTTGGTCTCATTTTAATCAGAAAAATGTCACGAATATGATGGAGGAAGTTATATAAAAAATAGAGGGGAAATAAAAAAGGTAGAAACGCATTAGCATTGTAAACAATTGAACAGACTTTTGCAGACTGCTACGATTGCAGCGTTTCTTTCTTTTTCACTCGCTGTCCTCCTCGGCATTAGAAACTATTATATTATCAGAAAATTTAGGCAAAATTATATCGTGTTTGCTTTTATTTTAATCAGATAAATCTGAAAAATCTGTTGGCAAAAGTTTGATAACGAAAAAATAAAAAATAAAAAAATATATATTAGAGAAAACGGGGAGGAAACGAACAGAAAACTAAGAAAGAAAATTAAACTGAGACTTGTAATGTACATATATTTTAATAAGGAAACTAAAAGGAATCTATTCGTTTACGTCGTTCTCTATTGATGGTCTGCTTTTGTCTGAATCTCCTAGGTTTCTACTGCCTCGCACTTTTGTCTCTCCCTCTCACTCTCTCTTACTCGCTCTCTCACTCTTTCTCTCGCACTCATCGTTCATTCGCTCTTACCATTCGCGCCCTTTTACAAAACCTATAACATATATTTGCATTGGAGCTTCGTTCGTCTCGAGCGGTTTTTCCCCCAGTGGTGTAAATAATGTTTGCTTATATAAAATGATTACTATATAGAAAAATATGAGCACTATTGATTAGACCAAATATTCAGTTGGACAGAGTGTTCCACAAATGAGTGCATATTTTTACATAATTTTATACGTCGACGAAGCGAAGTTCGGTAAAAGACAATAAAATCGTATTAGAAAAGACGGTCATTGGGTAGCGGGTCGACATTAACTCCAGGGACTGTCGTATAATTGTAATCGAACATACTGATGCGTTCAGTATACAACCAGTTGTAAAGAAACACAAGTGAAATTCACACGGACTGCTTCAAAAATTGTTTAGGGTTCCGTGAAAAGGGCTACATGTATGTATAAGAGTGTTGATCACAGTAAAGAATTCGTAGGCATGTATAATTAACTTTGAATTTTAGCTAGTTCATAGATAAATTTCGATGAAACATTAACTAAATTAAGTTTTATATGTACACTACCGTCCATAAGTATCCGGACACAAGCGAAATATGCATTCGCGTTGCATGAAAGTTATTCGAGTATCTGCAACAGTAACTAAAATCGATTTTTTTTTCTGCGAAGGTCAGAATACTGGAACGTTTTTCGATTGATAATTCTCGTTTGGAACTCATATCTTGATGGAAAAGAAGTTACAGACGGACTAAACTGAAACTGTCGAGTGCGTAGCGTTACCTCCATTCTTATCTCCATTGAGGGAACCTAAACATCTACCAACAGTTTACAAACACTTGAAACATATCGAAGAACCCTCTGAATACGTTCTGCACCATAGAAATGAAACACAGTAGAAATTAAATTTTTTTTTAGAATCGAAAACGTTTCATTAGATTCACAAATTTGGACTTTGTACTTTTGGACATGAATTTTACTTTCACACTTTCATTGTATAATTTGTACTTAAAAATTAATTCTATTACGTTATAACACCTCAAGAAAGATAATAATAATTATTGCAAATGATATGCTAACCCTAAATACCTTTCGTACAAAGTTCCACTATGTTTTATGTAACGAAACCAAGTGTCCGGACACTTATGGACGGTAGTGTATATGTTAACTAACAAGGGACATTACCCAATCGCCAATCGCCGATTTTGATGCGCTTTGAGTATGATATAGAACACAGAAAAATATTTGACACGTATTTTTTTTTATCGGCCATCATCCATGCTGAAGGGGTGAAAATGGCCCCCAAAGTTGGGGTTGCAAAACATATTTTCTCAGGAACTATTAGGCCTAGACAAAAAATTCAAAGTGCAAATTTTTCTGTTTTAGAAGGCCAATAATATGGCCTAAGTGGATTTTTGAAAAATTTATTTGTTTAAAAAATATGTTAAAAATTAACATTATTTTGCAAATTTTTTTAATAAAACTTTGCACTATTTTGATCAAATTTCACATATGTAAACTATAGGTCAAAAGACAAAATAAGGATAAATTGGAATTTTTTATTTCGCTTGTGGAAAAAATATTATTGTCGTTGAAGTTATACGTACATTTTATACCTTCCGTTCGGTGCACAACTGATTTCTATACGTAATATTCTGGAAATTGTATTATATTACATTTTTTACACTAACTTATTTAAAAAGAGAATTTAAAGGTCCAAAGGTGCCTCTATAAAAATATGTCCTTCGAGTCAGATATCGCATTTGATCCGCGTTATGGGCGCGTACTGGTGGCAGTATTCGACGCACGGAGGATCTTAACGCGTAAATTGTACTTGTGCGAAGTGTAATATCTTCATAACGATGTAGAATACATGCAATTAAAGAAATTACATCTGTTGATCAAGAATTGCTTCACGATTGTAAGATATATAGTAACACTGAAATTATAGTTTTTTTATAATTTTCAAAATTATGTCTCTTATTTTGAAATGATTTTCTAATGTATTATAAACGGTAGGAAACGTAAAAGATGTAATGTTGTTATGCATTATGAAATCGAAACGGATATCAGTATTTGTCAGCGTA